TATATATATATATATTACTATACATTAATATTAACTATATAAAATTACTAAAAAAAAATTAACTAAAAAATTATATTACTATAATATATATATATTATTACTAACTGTATATATATATTACTATAAATTAAAATTAACTAAAAAATTAACTAAAAAATTATATTACTATAATGTATATATACATATATTTTATTACTACTAAATATATATATATATTTTATTATTACTAACCATATATATATATATATATTTTATTATTACTAACCATATATATATTAATATAAATTAAAATTAACTATATAAAATTACTAAAAAAAAAGTTAACTAAAAATAACTAAAAAGTTAACTAAACTATAATACTAAATTAACTATATATATATATATATATATATAGACTGTAATATAATAAGATAATATATATGTTAAATGTTTACAATATATTTATATTAATATCTTTTTTCTTTTTCAATCTAACATAGCATATTTGAGAGAAGTAGACCAACAACAAGATACCCTAAGAAATGATATAGATTCAACTGTAAGAAGAAAAGCACTTGCAAGAGTTCAACAAGCATTAATTGCTGCTCAAGAAATTGGTGATGAAAAATTACAAATTGTACAACAGGTTCAAGATTTAATAGACAGTAAATCTAGACAACTTGAAGTAGATTATCGTAATTTAGGTATGTCATCACATATACTTGTTATTTCTTATAATATAACTCTCACTTTTCTTATAAATATTCAATAACAACATTTAATCAATAATAATAATAATAATAATATTTTAACACAATGTTTTTAATAGATTTTGGTAAAGAACAAGAGAACTGTGAATCCAATCGTGAATCAAATTCGAATATTAATTCGAATTCATCGACCAATGCGAATAGCAGTGAACGTTTACCAAAACGTGCTAGAAGAACAAGAACAGAAACATTGGTTGAATCAGGACATGCGATGGATATGATTGTAGTATCTGAAACAAGATCGAATACTTTAACCAGTGCTAGTAATGGTAATCAAAAGAAAACAGCAACAACTAATACAGGTAAAAAGAAGAAAAGAAAATCTAGACAAGGAAATCAACATAATCAACATAGGGAGGATACTCCACCACCATTGGAAGATGATCTTGCGATAGATCCAGATGAACCTACTTATTGTCTTTGCGATCAAATTTCTTATGGAGAAATGATACTTTGTGATAATGATTTATGTCCAATAGAATGGTTCCATTTCTCTTGTGTATCACTTAGTACTAAACCAAAAGGAAAATGGTTTTGTCCAAAGTGTCGTGGAGATCGTCCAAATGTTATGAAACCGAAAGCACAATTTTTGAAAGAACTTGAAAGGTATAATAAAGAAAAAGAAGAAAAATCGTAGCAAACAAAGTATACTACTAATTGTTGAAAACTTTTGGAACAATCAAAAAGTAATTTTGTGCAAAACAATATTATTTAATGTTAATTAGAATTGAGAATTTCATTTTTCGTATTAGTAATAAAAATAATTATCTATATATATATATACAGGATGAGTCAAACTTTAAATGATTGTTCATCTGAATAACTTTTACAATTTTAATGACACAAGAAAAAAAAAAATATATATATATATATAATATTTAAAATAAAATTTAAAGTTTTATCTCATATAACTTTATCAGTAACATCACTTTTAGATTGTAGTTTAGTATATATATATATATATATAACTCATATACAGATAATTGAGACTTTTGATTTTCTTTTTGGTCTAATTGCATTTCTCCCATAAGTGTATTCTTACACCTTCCATATATATTTTCCATTTTAAATGAAATTATAATTGATCTTGTCCACATTTTATTTTCAATTCTTGTTATTCACACATTTGAATGAAAGTTGCCTTTATTTGTTTTATTATAAATATCCATATTGATTTTTCATTTGATTTCTAAATAATCTAACATCTATTATTATTGTATTTATATATTTATATATATATATATATATATGCTTGCAGTTATTTAAAAAACAAATATTCTCTAAAACATTTGTTAAAATTGTCTTAAAAAGTTTGATTTAACATTAACATTGTTGATTATTAAAATCATTTTATTGAAATAGATTGAAAAATAATGTTAAAGAGAAGAATAGACAAGACAATGAATACGAGAGACTTATGTTTTGTAATCAATCAAATTAAAAAAAAAAAAAAAAACATGTAAAACACACTATCTGCTGATGAATAATTTAAAAACAAACAGTGTCTTCTTCTTCTTGTATTAACAATTAATTATTGTGAACATCTTACTTCTACAACAAATTGTACAAGTTATTCAGATGATTGATATTTAGTTGAATTCATACTGTATATAAATAATACTTGACAATTTGACTTATACCACCATTGAAATTGGTTTAAATCCAAAGATCAAAAATCGAAAATTAATAATTACAGTCTCTCGATATATTTAATAACAAAGTAGTTTATAGAGAAAATGTTTTCTTAATAATTATTCTATGTAATTAATTTGTATAAGAAGAATAATGGTGTTTAGTGTATTTACATACTATTCAATTATAACAATTCTTAAATAATTATAAACGACAATGTGACATTGTGAAAATTCTTGATGAAATATTCAAATTGTTTTGTTTATTAATAATAAGATAATTCATAGATATAGAAGATATATATATATATATATATTATATAAGAACAATTGTTTAAACAAATTATCTTTCTATCTATAACTGGCAATATTAAAGTGGCGCAACATATAATTTTTAATAATTTTTATGACATGGAAGGGGATACGTTCTCAATAGAATTTATTATTATTATTTTTCTTTCTTGTTTTTCTTTCTTTTTCTTTTTTTTTTTTGTCGAGAATTGTAATATAATTTTTCATCTAAGTTTTCTCTTTTTGTTATTTTAAAATTCTCACATGTATCTTATTATTTATATTAATTTATCGAAAAATATTGTTATCTCTCTTTTTTGTTTTTCTTGTATATGAATAAATAAAAAATAATGTAATATCAATAATATTAATAATAATAATAATAATAGTATGTATATTAAAAAACGTAAATGAAATGAGCTGTATAAGTCTCATTATTATTATTTTTATGTTAATTATTATATTTGTTTTTAATTAATTAATTAATTAATTAATTAATTAATATATAAATCTATATGTGTAAAATATAAGATAAAAGTACAACATAAAATATAATATATTTCAGAATTTATTTGAAGACAAACAATAAAAAAAAAAAAAAAAAAAAAACAAACAATATTATTATTATATTTTATACAAATTGTGATTACAGTTGGTTAAATTGCATTATGATTAATTATTAAAAATTGTATTTTTCCTTATTATTATTATTCAATTTAAAGTTTTTTTTTTTCTTCCAAAATATTTATCACAAATAAAGTAAAGTAAAGTAAAGTAAACAAAAGTCAAATATAATTTAAAAACCAAAATTATTTAAATGTATGATAAGATGATGTATATATATATATATATATCTGTTTTGTTTTTTTCTTTTTCAATGACTTCAAGCATTATTATTTAATATTATATAATAATAATAATAATGTTTAAATAAAAATTTTGATTTAAGATTAAAATCTTCACAATTTATGTTTTAAAATAATAAACATAATTATATGAAAAATAAAATCAAATAAAATGAAATGATTAAATTGTTGCTTGAAGCCGTTGATATAAATAATACAGTAGACAGTATATATATATATAAAGTAAATGGAAACTTAACAAAAATTTTTTTTTTTCATTTCATTAATTGTTCTATCGTTCTATCGAATAGACACAAAACAGGAATAATAATAATAGTAATAATAATAATAATAATAATATACGTACAAATGCCCTTGATTTATAACATAAATTCTATATTATCAAGTTATACAGTTCAGTTTTCATTTGTCTCTATAAAAACAAAATTATTTTCAATGTGTGTAAGAAGAAGGTAAAACTCATTTTACAACATTTTGCAATATTATAATTTCTTATTAATGTCGACACGTTGTGTTTGTTTGTTTATTTGTTTTGTTTGTTTGTAATAATACAAAAAAGAGTATTTGTACATATATATATATATATATGTGTATTTTATTTTATTTTTTTTTTTATTATCATCATTGTTTTGTTATTTATGTTAAAGCACCTAAAGAGTGTGTGTAGTTTATTATGAACAAAAAAAAAAAAACAAAAAACAAAAAAAAACAACAAAACCATACACGTATTTATTGTATACTTATAAATATAGATCACATAAGTTTGCTCAGTGCAGTTTTCCATGTCATTCCAGGACTACAAAATCTGAAATGATAAATTTGAAATATATTTTATAGAGAAACATTCATTTTATTATAAATAAAGTCTTGGAATATTTCTTTAGTGAAATTATTTATACATATATATATATATATATATATATAAAAAGAATATTTGTAAAATAAATCATCGTGTGTAAGAATAATACATTAATACTAGATTTACAAATTGATCATTGAACATATTTGATTATTATATATTTATCAAATTTAAATACTATTTTTTAAAAAACTTATATTGTGCTTTTTAATTACGTAATGAAATATACGTAAATAATTAGTTCTCATTATACTTTACACAACCCTTCATTCTAAAAACAATATTATTAAATCATTAAAAAAAAAAAAAGAATAATGAACAAAACATCTGTAAAATCTAGTGTTAATTATTAACTGTGATTCATTAATTATTCTTGTCTTCTGTAAAAACAAAAAACAAAAACAAACGAATATTAATGAAAAATATGAAAATGAATGAATTCATTCATTTCTATTTTAACATTGAAATTAATCATAATCATCATCATCAGCATCATCATTTTTATTATAACACTGTAAATGTTTTCTTTTCTTAATTAGTATCTACTCTTATCAAGGTATCATCATTAATATCTGGTTATATGTATTTTTTTCTCTTATATCTGCATATATACATATTTATATAAGAGTTTGAACTGTTCTTCCTCATAAAAAGACAATTTTGTTTTACCATCCCCCCCTCTCCCAATTGCGTGCTTTTACAGTGCCCAGAGGAGATTCTTAACATTGATCGTGCAACAAAGATTTGTTTTTTTTGAAATGTAACACAACACAAGGAGAGTTTGAACTGTTCTTCCTCATAAAAAGACAATTTTGTTTTACCATCCCCCCACCTCTCCCAATTGCGTGCTTTTACAGTGACCAGAAGAGATTCTTAACATTGATCGTGTTACATAAAGATTTGTTTTTTTGAAATGTAACAACACAAGGAGAATTTGAACTGTTTTTCCTCATAAAAAGACAATTTTATCTTATCAATCCCCCCCTTTCCCAATTGCGTGCTTTTACAGTGACCAGAGATTTTAACATTGATCGTGTAACATAAAGATTTGTTTTTTTGAAATGTAACACAAAACAAGGAGA